CCAAATTAACTATACAACTATATAATAATTAAAACTTACCAAATACTGGTCAAATAAGACATCACAGATAGACAGTATAATAAGGCCTCCACCGATTGTTCACAATAAAATGCTTGATTCAAATTGTAATCTATATTTACTTAAATAAAAGTGATTTAAGTGACATTAACGTTTTCTAAGACATGCCAAAGCAAAAGGATACCAACCACCAATTTAGTCACAATTGTAGTTTTAAGAAGGGGTAAATTATTATATTATACAGCTCTCCATTTAAATGCATCTTATAACTACATTGTATTCATGTGCTAGTGTATTAACCCTTCACTTTGACATATTTTATATTTAAATATTATAAAATTTATAAATACTTAATAATAGATTGGTATTCTAAAATATGTTTTGATCACTACTCATTTCAATACTAAATAAGATATAACAATATATGTATTTTAACAATAATATCTTTAATGCATAGAAAGAAAGAGCTCAGATGGTATATAGACAGTTGAATATTTATAAATATCGTATTGATTTCACACAAAAAAATAATAGAAACATTGAGCACAAACTATTTAACCCAAAATCGAATTCTATTTGATTTTTTAACTTATTTAACATTATCAAGTTCATAAAATGTTATACACTAGTATATGTCGACTCAGATTCGAAACTGAGAAGGAGTAATTAACAGTTTCGAGGTTGTAATTCATTATTATAAGCTATATAATTGGGACACTAATCTTTGTATTATATTATACAGTATTAAATAAATATTAGATAGACGGTAGGAATAGTCTCATTAAGATAGAAAACCATCTCTCTATATAGCATAACCATTTCTTCTAATTTTTCTAATTAGTTGCTGATTATGCCTCTAATGTTAAACATCTTCCAAAACACAACAGTCAATACCAACTAATAGTATAGGTTCCGAAGAGTGATTGTTTCTTGAAATAAGTTCAATTGGTTATATCACTTTCACATTTCGAATATTCATATTATTAATAATCGTGATATAAATCTATTAAATAATGTTCTAATATTTATTGTCTATAAACAAAGGTATGGACTTTATTTTCAAAATCCAATGTAATTATTTGATTGGTTAATAGATTAAGTTTTGTGAATAACATGGGAGTTACAAGTTCATATTTCATATTCTAGAAGAGTTGGTACTCCCCTATCAAATACAATATTCTAATATCCATCATAATATCACCATATATTACTATATAGTCTAATATACTACACGGCATATTCATAACCAAATAATCCATACATATTAGAGCTCCACCTAGATTATAATACAATGTGACATTTATCAATCTTACCTCCACAACCAACCTCTCCCTCCAACATCTAATATTCCGTCATTTAACATTTATTGATACATTTGTATTTTTCCAATTCCAATTTTATTACCACTTCCATCCAAAAAAGAATATTTTTATAAAAGAGAACTTTAAAACATACTTATATTTCAATGTGCTGACTGTTTGATACCGAAATTAATCACTGGCTTTAATATCAGGCAAATTAGTATAATATTTTAATCAATTGTGGTAAGGTAAAATAAATATTTCAAATCTGAAATATAATACGAATATTACTTCAACACTAACTTGGGAAGGAAGTAAATTCAACTTGATCCATTTAATTTAAACTGTTAATTCAATTATGAAGAAAAAACCATTTGGATGCTATAAATTACATTAACAGAAATTAAAAATATTTTCAGTTTGCAATAATATCTCATTGGTGATGCAATTCGAATTCAGGTTTTCGACATTTTTCTAAAATAAAACAATTGTTTAGAAGTAATTGTAACATTGATATATGTTAACACAGACTTAATCTAATAACTTGGAACTGTTCAATATGCAGCAAATACTTACACTTCAACTTATCAAAGGGTATATATTTCTCTCGAATACTAAATCTTCAATATCAATCCCATGTCTTCCTAGCATCCCAGGATCCGGCTGCTAATGTGTCTATATCTGCCACAAGGAATTTACTTGCAAAATTGTAACTCTAGTTTAGACACTAACTCTTAAATGTTGACGCAGGTTCGAAACTGAGAAGGAGTAATTTTCAGTTTTAAGATTATTATTAATTTGAGTATTAATTATTCAAAGCTATATGGTTGGGAAGCTAATCCTTGATTACTTTATATAGTGTTATATAAGGACTAGATAAAGGGTAGGAATAGTTTCATTTATCTTGAATACTATCTTTTTATATAGCTTAAGGATAGCATCTAATTATTCTAATTAGATGCTGGTTTGCTGGTTTGGTTCCTAATGCTAACCATATTTCAACACACTGTTGTTGGAATATGGTTAGCATAAGAAGCATAAGTCACACTAGCAAAGCCACGCGAGCTAGCTCAGGCTTCATCTAATTTAATTAATTAGATAAAACACTAAGTTATATAAAGGGATAGGTTTCTATCTTAATGAAACTATTGCTGGTCTTTATCTAATCTTTGTATAATACCATATAATATAATCAAGGATTAGCTACCCAAAGATATAGTCTAACAATTGGTCAACACATGAACAATGATAGCTTTGAAACTGCCAACAGCACTTTCTCAGTTTGGAATCTGCGTCAACAACTGTAACTTGTATTATATTAAAAAGAACCAAAAATATTTTTTTAACTTGATTTGTGCATATTTTTATATAAGACATATTTGCTCTAGAACCAGTATTTAAATTTTAATTAAGCCAATTAAGGTGGATTATTGGATAGTATATTACAAATAACACCTACTGTTTCTTTCATCTTGTTCAATTTATGAATTTTGAAGCTATATTTTACGATATAAATATCATTTGTGTGGGTAATCAATCTCAACTTTACCAGTATACATCGATACTACAGACATATGTATACTAACATATTAAATAATTAAACCTTTTTTTTTTCAGATTTTTAAAAATTTATCAATAGAAGACCAATCTATTATTATTGCGTACTATCTCTTCAATAAGTATATCTTTTGTAAACTTTGAATTCGAAATCATAGTCAAATCATTATTGAAAACAAATATCAATCAAAAAAAAATGATTTTTTGGGTACCATTCTTTGTCCAGCATACCCACTTAGTAGTAATGGTTTTTTAAGAACTACTTAATTGAAAAATATAGAAATTATCTAGCCACTAAAAATTGATACTTTTAACACTTGATTAACTTAGTTATAAAATAAATGTTATATATATATATAGATATATGTAATCTCACTATTATATTGTTATCTTAGATCATAATAAAATTCATAAGAGCATACCCATGATTAATACACCGAAAAATGTATATATAGAATTAGTCACTTTCATGTTACTACCTGAACCTTCATACGTGGAAACAGATGCAGTGGATTCAGAAGAAGCCAAAGAAGTTGATTCAGAGCTATAATATGAGTCAGTAGAACTTTCTAAATCATTACTTGCATCACTTGAAGAGTTTAATATGGTTGTGCTTATTGCATTATATGATGAAATAGTAGTTGTAGAGCTTATTACATCGGATTGTGATTGTGAAGTATTGTGTAATATTGATGAACTGACATCTGTTGGACTAGAAAGAATACCGGTAAGAATTGTGGATGGTGTGTGGGATATATCATCAGTTACAGGATTTGTTTCAACTAGGTCAGAAATAATAAACGAAGACACACCATCGCTAATTGATGAAGCATATATTATACTAGTATGACCTTCAGTATCAGTAACAGTAATAACAGATGTGTCTACTTGGGTAGCAGTTGTGCTTTCGCATGGAACTGTTGTGGTAATGGTTGTAATGTGGCCTTCAGTATCAGTAACAGTAATCACAGATGTGTCTACTTGGGTAGCAGTTGTGCTTTCGCATGGAACTGTTGTGGTAATGGTTGTAATGTGGCCTTCAGTATCAGTAACAGTAATAACAGATGTGTCTACTTGGGTAGCAGTTGTGCTTTCGCATGGAACTGTTGTGGTAATGGTTGTAATGTGGCCTTCAGTATCAGTAACAGTAATCACAGATGTGTCTACTTGGGTAGCAGTTGTGCTTTCGCATGGAACTGTTGTGGTAATGGTTGTAATGTGGCCTTCAGTATCAGTAACAGTAATAACAGATGTGTCTACTTGGGTAGCAGTTGTGCTTTCGCATGGAACTGTTGTGGTGATGGTTGTAATGTGGCCTTCAGTATCAGTAACAGTAATAACAGATGTGACTACTTCATTACCGACTGTAGACAATGGTAATTCGCTTGTAGCAGACAGGTAATTATCCATTAATGATGATGTTTCGACAACTACACCTTCACTAGATGAAGTTTCAACAATGGCAGCTTCAGTAGATGATGTTTCGACAACTACACCTTCACTAGATGAAGTTTCAACAATGGCAGCTTCAGTAGATGATGTTTCGACAACTACACCTTCAGTAGATGAAGTTTCAACAATGACACCTTCAGTGGATGAAGTTTCAACAATGGCAGCTTCAGTGGATGATGTTTCAACAATGACAGCTTCACTAGATGAAGTTTCGACAATGGCAGCTTCACTAGATGATGTTTCGACAATGGCAGCTTCACTAGATGATGTTTCAACAACTACACCTTCAGTAAATGAAGTTTCAACAATGACACCTTCAGTGGATGATGTTTCAACAATGGCAGCTTCAGTGGATGAAGTTTCGACAACTACACCTTCAGTAGATGAAGTTTCGACAATGGCACCTTCACTAGATGATGTTTCGACAATGGCACCTTCACTAGATGATGTTTCGACAACGGCAGCTTCACTAGATGATGTTTCGACAACTACACCTTCAGTAGATGAAGTTTCGACAATGGCAGCTTCACTAGATGATGTTTCGACAACTACACCTTCAGTAGATGATGTTTCGACAACTACACCTTCACTAGATGAAGTTTCAACAATGACACCTTCAGTGGATGAAGTTTCAACAATGACACCTTCAGTGGATGATGTTTCAACAATGACAGCTTCACTAGATGATGTTTCAACAATGGCAGCTTTACTAGATGAAGTTTCGACAATGGCAGCTTCACTAGATGATGTTTCGACAATGGCAGCTTCACTAGATGAAGTTTCAACAATGGCAGCTTCACTAGATGATGTTTCGACAACTACACCTTCAGTAGATGAAGTTTCGACAATGGCAGCTTCACTAGATGATGTTTCGACAACTACACCTTCAGTAGATGATGTTTCGACAACTACACCTTCACTAGATGAAGTTTCAACAATGACACCTTCAGTGGATGATGTTTCAACAATGACAGCTTCACTAGATGATGTTTCAACAATGGCAGCTTTACTAGATGAAGTTTCGACAATGGCAGCTTCACTAGATGATGTTTCGACAATGGCACCTTCACTAGATGATGTTTCGACAATGGCACCTTCACTAGATGAAGTTTCAACAATGGCAGCTTCACTAGATGATGTTTCGACAATGGCAGCTTCACTAGATGAAGTTTCAACAATGGCAGCTTCACTAGATGAAGTTTCAACAATGACACCTTCAGTGGATGAAGTTTCAACAATGGCAGCTTCAGTGGATGATGTTTCAACAATGACAGCTTCACTAGATGATGTTTCAACAATGACAGCTTTACTAGATGAAGTTTCGACAATGGCAGCTTCACTAGATGATGTTTCGACAATGGCACCTTCACTAGATGATGTTTCGACAATGGCACCTTCACTAGATGAAGTTTCAACAATGGCAGCTTCACTAGATGAAGTTTCGACAATGGCAGCTTCACTAGATGATGTTTCGACAATGGCAGCTTCAGTAGATGATGTTTCGACAACTACACCTTCACTAGATGAAGTTTCGACAATGGCAGCTTCACTAGATGATGTTTCGACAATGGCACCTTCACTAGATGATGTTTCGACAATGGCAGCTTCACTAGATGATGTTTCGACAATGGCAGCTTCAGTAGATGATGTTTCGACAATGGCAGCTTCACTAGATGATGTTTCGACAATGGCAGCTTCAGTAGATGATGTTTCGACAACTACACCTTCACTAGATGAAGTTTCAACAATGGCAGCTTCACTAGATGAAGTTTCAACAACTACACCTTCAGTGGATGATGGGAACCTTGTTGTTAAACTGACATCGGCATTTATTGATTGATAGATTGACACCGAAGTTGTAAATTCTTCACAACTTGCAATTGATGTAACTGCAGATGGCATTGTGTATTCACTTGATAAAGCTGGACCACTAATGACAGAAACAGAAGTTGTTAGAGTTTCTAATGGAGGAGTAGAAATAGTTCTTGATGTACTTGGTGTATTACTTTCAACAATAGAACTCAAATCTAAAATAGAAGACTCAATAGCACTACCAAAAGAAGTAATTGGTAATGTACTAATGATATCAATAGACGACTGAACTAATGAATATGAAGAATTAGAATATAAAACAGAACTCGAAGGAGTTACAACAAATGAACTTGAAATAACAAAAGAGTCAACTGCAGAAGAAGAGTCAACACCAGATGATGAGACAGCTACTGAAGAGGATTCGACAGTAGAAGAGGATTCAACACCAGATGATGAGACAGCTACTGAAGAGGATTCGACAGTAGAAGAGGATTCAACACCAGATGATGAGACGGCTACTGAAGAGGATTCGATAGCAGAAGAGGATTCAACACCAGATGATGAGACGGCTACTGAAGAGGATTCAACACCAGATGATGAGACAGCTACTGAAGAGGATTCGACAGCAGAAGAGGATTCAACAGCGGAAGAGGATTCGACAGCAGAAGAGGATTCAACACCAGATGAAGAGACACCTACTGAAGAAGATTCGACAGTAGAAGAGGATTCAACACCAGATGATGAGACAACTACTGAAGAGGATTCGATAGCAGAAGAGGATTCAACACCAGATGATGATCTAGCGGCTGAAGAGGATTCGACAGCAGAAGAGGATTCAACACCAGATGATGAGACAGCGGCTGAAGAGGATTCGACAGCAGAAGAGGATTCAACACCAGATGATGAGACACCTACTGAAGAGGATTCAACAGCGGATGATGAGACAGCTACTGAAGAGGATTCGACAGCAGAAGAGGATTCAACAGCAGATGATGAGACACCTACTGAAGAGGATTCGACAGCGGATGATGAGACACCTACTGAAGAGGATTCGACAGCAGAAGAGGATTCAACACCAGATGATGAGACACCTACTGAAGAGGATTCGACAGCGGATGATGAGATAGCTACTGAAGAGGATTCGATAGCAGAAGAGGATTCAACACCAGATGATGATCTAGCGGCTGAAGATGATTCGACAGCAGAAGAGGATTCAACACCAGATGATGAGACAGCGGCTGAAGAGGATTCGACAGCAGAAAAGGATTCAACAGCGGAAGAGGATTCGACAGCAGAAGAGGATTCAACACCAGATGATGAGACAGCTACTGAAGAGGATTCGACAGCAGAAGAGGATTCAACAGCGGATGATGAGACAGCTACTGAAGAGGATTCGACAGCAGAAGAGGATTCAACACCAGATGATGAGACACCTACTGAAGAGGATTCGACAGCGGATGATGAGACAGCTACTGAAGAGGATTCGACAGCTGAAGAAGGATTCAACAGCGGAAGAGGATTCGACAGCAGAAGAGGATTCACACCAGATGATGAGACAGCGGCTGAAGAGGATTCGACAGCAGAAGAGGATTCAACAGCGGATGATGAGACAGCTACTGAAGAGGATTCGACAGCAGAAGAGGATTCAACACCAGATGATGAGACAGCTACTGAAGAGGATTCGACAGCAGAAGAGGATTCAACACCAGATGATGAGACGGCTACTGAAGAGGATTCGACAGCAGAAGAGGATTCAACAGCGGATGATGAGACAGCTACTGAAGAGGATTCGACAGCAGAAGAGGCTTCAACACCAGATGATGAGAAAGCGGCTGAAGAGGATTCGACAGCAGAAGAGGATTCAACAACGGATGATGAGACAGCTACTGAAGAGGATTCGACAGCAGAAGAGGATTCAACACCAGATGAAGAGACACCTACTGAAGAAGATTCGACAGTAGAAGAGGATTCAACACCAGATGATGAGACAACTACTGAAGAGGATTCGATAGCAGAAGAGGATTCAACACCAGATGATGATCTAGCGGCTGAAGAGGATTCGACAGCAGAAGAGGATTCAACACCAGATGATGAGACAGCTACTGAAGAGGATTCGACAGCAGAAGAGGATTCAACACCAGATGATGAGACGGCTACTGAAGAGGATTCGACAGCAGAAGAGGATTCAACACCAGATGATGAGACAGCTACTGAAGAAGATTCGACAGCAGAAGAGGATTCAACACCAGATGATGAGACGGCTACTGAAGAAGATTCGATAGCAGAAGAGGATTCAACACCAGATGATGAGACGGCTACTGAAGAGGATTCGACAGCAGAAGAGGATTCAACACCAGATGATGAGACAGCTACTGAAGAAGATTCGACAGCAGAAGAGGATTCAACACCAGATGATGAGACAGCTACTGAAGATGATTCGACAGCAGAAGAGGATTCAACACCAGATGATGAGACAGCTACTGAAGAGGATTCGACAGCAGAAGAGGATTCAACACCAGATGATGAGACAGCTACTGAAGAGGATTCGACAGCAGAAGAGGATTCAACACCAGATGATGAGACAGCTACTGAAGAGGATTCGACAGCAGAAGAGGATTCAACACCAGATGATGAGACAGCTACTGAAGAAGATTCGACAGTAGAAGAGGATTCAACACCAGATGATGAGACACCTACTGAAGAGGATTCGACAGCAGAAGAGGATTCAACACCAGATGAAGAGACGGCTACTGAAGAGGATTCGACAGCAGAAGAGGATTCAACACCAGATGATGAGACAGCTACTGAAGAAGATTCGACAGTAGAAGAGGATTCAACACCAGATGATGAGACAGCTACTGAAGATGATTCGACAGCAGAAGAGGATTCAACACCAGATGATGATCTAGCGGCTGAAAAGGATTCGACAGCAGAAGAGGATTCAACACCAGATGATGAGACACCTACTGAAGAGGATTCGACAGCAGAAGAGGATTCGACAGCGGAAGAAGATTCGACTACAGAAGAAGATTCAACAGCACTTGACGATCTTAGACTGTAACTACTAAATCCTGTACTAGAACCAAACGCAGAAGCCGATCTAGAAGCTCAAGATGATTCAGATGAAGATTCAACACCAGATGATGAGACGGCTACTGAAGATGATTCGACAGCAGAAGAGGATTTAACAGCGGATGATGAGACGGCTACTGAAGGGGATTCGACAGTAGAAGAGGATTCAACACCAGATGATGAGACAGCTACTGAAGAGGATTCGATAGCAGAAGAGGATTCAACACCAGATGATGATCTAGCGGCTGAAGAGGATTCGACAGCAGAAGAGGATTCAACACCAGATGATGAGACGGCTACTGAAGAGGATTCGACAGTAGAAGAGGATTCAACACTAGATGATGAGATAGATAATGAAGAGGATTCGACAGCAGAAGAGGATTCAACACCAGATGATGATCTAGCGGCTGAAGAGGATTCGAAAGCAGAAGAGGATTCAACGCCAGATGATGAGACACCTACTGAAGAGGATTCGACAGCAGAAGAGGATTCGACAGCGGAAGAAGATTCGACAACAGAAGAAGATTCAACAGCACTTGACGATCTTAGACTGTAACTACTAAATCCTGTACTAGAACCAAACGCAGAAGCAGATCTAGAAGCTAAAGATGATTCAGATGAAGATTCAACACCAGATGATGAGACAACTACTGAAGAAGATTCGATAGCAGAAGAGGATTCAATGCCAGATGATGATATAGCGGCTGAAGAGGATTCGACAGTAGAAGAGGATTCAACACCAGATGATGAGACAGCTACTGAAGAGGATTCGACAGTAGAAGAGGATTCAACAGCGGAAGAAGATTCGACAACAGAAGAAGATTCAACAGCATTTGACGATCTTAGACTGTAACTACTAAATCCTGTACTAGAACCAAACGCAGAAGCAGATCTAGAAGCTAAAGATGATTCAGATGAAGATTCAACACCAGATGATGAGACGGCTACTGAAGAGGATTCGACAGCAGAAGAGGATTCAACACCAGATGATGAGACAGCTACTGAAGAGGATTCGACAGCAGAAGAGGATTCAACACCAGATGATGAGACGGCTACTGAAGAGGATTCGACAGTAGAAGAGGATTCAACACCAGATGATGAGACAGCTACTGAAGAGGATTCGACAGCAGAAGTGGATTCAACACCAGATGACGAGATAGCTACTGAAGAGGATTCGACAGCAGAAGAGGATTCGACAGCGGAAGAAGATTCGACAACAGAAGAAGATTCAACAGCACTTGACGATCTTAGACTGTAACTACTAAATCCTGTACTAGAACCAAACGCAGAAGCAGATCTAGAAGCTAAAGATGATTCAGATGAAGATTCAACACCAGATGATGAGACAACTACTGAAGAAGATTCGATAGCAGAAGAGGATTCAATGCCAGATGATGATATAGCGGCTGAAGAGGATTCGACAGTAGAAGAGGATTCAACACCAGATGATGAGACAGCTACTGAAGAGGATTCGACAGTAGAAGAGGATTCAACACCAGATGATGAGATAGCTACTGAAGATGATTCGACAGTAGAAGAGGATTCAACACCAGATGATGAGACGGCTACTGAAGATGAATCGACAGCAGAAGAGGATTCAACACCAGATGATGAGACGGCTACTGAAGAGGATTCGACAGCAGAAGAGGATTCAACACCAGATGATGAGACAGCTACTGAAGAAGATTCGACAGCAGAAGAGGATTCAACACCAGATGATGAGACGGCTACTGAAGAGGATTCGACAGCAGAAGAGGATTCAACACCAGATGATGAGACGGCTACTGAAGATGATTCGACAGCAGAAGAGGATTCAACACCAGATGATGAGACAGCTACTGAAGAAGATTCGATAGCTGAAGAGGATTCAACACCAGATGATGAGACAGCTACTGAAGAGGATTCGATAGCAGAAGAGGATTCAACACCAGATGATGATCTAGCGGCTGAAGAGGATTCGACAGCAGAAGAGGATTCAACACCAGATGATGAGACGGCTACTGAAGAGGATTCGACAGTAGAAGAGGATTCAACACTAGATGATGAGATAGATAATGAAGAGGATTCGACAGCAGAAGAGGATTCAACACCAGATGATGATCTAGCGGCTGAAGAGGATTCGAAAGCAGAAGAGGATTCAACGCCAGATGATGAGACACCTACTGAAGAGGATTCGACAGCAGAAGAGGATTCGACAGCGGAAGAAGATTCGACAACAGAAGAAGATTCAACAGCACTTGACGATCTTAGACTGTAACTACTAAATCCTGTACTAGAACCAAACGCAGAATCAGATCTAGAAGCTAAAGATGATTCAGATGAAGATTCAACACCAGATGATGAGACGGCTACTGAAGATGATTCGACAGTAGAAGAGGATTCAACACCAGATGATGAGACAGCTACTGAAGAGGATTCGACAGCAGAAGAGGATTCAACAGCGGATGATGAGACAGCTACTGAAGAGGATTCGACAGCAGAAGAGGATTCGACAGCGGAAGAAGATTCGACAACAGAAGAAGATTCAACAGCATTTGACGATCTTAGACTGTAACTACTAAATCCTGTACTAGAACCAAACGCAGAAGCAGATCTAGAAGCTAAAGATGATTCAGATGAAGATTCAACACCAGATGATGAGACGGCTACTGAAGAGGATTCGACAGCAGAAGAGGATTCAACACCAGATGATGAGACAGCTACTGAAGAGGATTCGACAGCAGAAGAGGATTCAACACCAGATGATGAGACAGCTACTGAAGAAGATTCGATAGCAGAAGAGGATTCAACACCAGATGATGATCTAGCGGCTGAAGAGGATTCGACAGCAGAAGAGGATTCAACACCAGATGATGAGACAGCTACTGAAGAGGATTCGACAGCAGAAGAGGATTCAACACCAGATGATGAGACGGCTACTGAAGAGGATTCGACAGCAGAAGAGGATTCAACATCAGATGATGAGACGGCAGCTGATGAGGATTCGACAGCAGAAGTGGATTCAACACCAGATGATGAGACAGCTACTGAAGAGGATTCGACAGCAGAAGTGGATTCAACACCAGATGACGAGACAGCTACTGAAGATGATTCGACAGCAGAAGAGGATTCAACACCAGATGATGAGACAGCTACTGAAGAGGATTCGACAGCAGAAGAGGATTCGACAGCGGAAGAAGATTCGACAACAGAAGAAGATTCAACAGCACTTGACGATCTTAGACTGTAACTACTAAATCCTGTACTAGAACCAAACGCAGAAGCCGATCTAGAAGCTAAAGATGATTCAGATGAAGATTCAACACCAGATGATGAGACGGCTACTGAAGATGATTCGACAGCAGAAGAGGATTTAACAGCGGATGATGAGACGGCTACTGAAGGGGATTCGACAGTAGAAGAGGATTCAACAGCAGATGAAGAGACACCTACTGAAGAGGATTCGACAGCAGAAGAGGATTCAACACCAGATGAAGAGACGGCTACTGAAGAGGATTCGACAGCAGAAGAGGATTCAACACCAGATGATGAGACAGCTACTGAAGATGACTCGACAGCAGAAGAGGATTCAACACCAGATGATGAGACAGCTACTGAAGAGGATTCGATAACAGAAGAGGATTCAACACCAGATGATGATCTAGCGGCTGATGAGGATTCGACAGCAGAAGAGGATTCAACACCAGATGATGAGACAGCTACTGAAGAGGATTCGACAGCAGAAGAGGATTCAACACCAGATGATGATCTAGCGGCTGAAGAGGATTCGACAGCAGAAGAGGATTCGACAGCGGAAGAAGATTCGACAACAGAAGAAGATTCAACAGCACTTGACGATCTTAGACTGTAACTACTAAATCCTGTACTAGAACCAAACGCAGAAGCAGATCTAGAAGCTAAAGATGATTCAGATGAAGATTCAACACCAGATGATGAGACAACTACTGAAGAAGATTCGATAGCAGAAGAGGATTCAACACCAGATGATGAGACAGCTACTGAAGAGGATTCGACAGTAGAAGAGGATTCAACACCAGATGATGAGATAGCTACTGAAGATGATTCGACAGTAGAAGAGGATTCAACACCAGATGATGAGACGGCTACTGAAGATGAATCGACAGCAGAAGAGGATTCAACACCAGATGATGAGACGGCTACTGAAGAGGATTCGACAGCAGAAGAGGATTCAACACCAGATGATGAGACAGCTACTGAAGAAGATTCGACAGCAGAAGAGGATTCAACACCAGATGATGAGACGGCTACTGAAGAGGATTCGACAGCAGAAGAGGATTCAACACCAGATGATGAGACACCTACTGAAGAGGATTCGACAGCAAAAGAGGATTCAACGCCAGATGATGAGACACCTACTGAAGAGGATTCGACAGCAGAAGAGGATTCGACAGCGGAAGAAGATTCGACAACAGAAGAAGATTCAACAGCACTTGACGATCTTAGACTGTAACTACTAAATCCTGTACTAGAACCAAACGCAGAAGCCGATCTAGAAGCTAAAGATGATTCAGATGAAGATTCAACACCAGATGATGAGACGGCTACTGAAGATGATTCGACAGCAGAAGAGGATTTAACAGCGGATGATGAGACGGCTACTGAAGGGGATTCGACAGTAGAAGAGGATTCAACAGCAGATGAAGAGACACCTACTGAAGAGGATTCGACAGCAGAAGAGGATTCAACACCAGATGAAGAGACGGCTACTGAAGAGGATTCGACAGCAGAAGAGGATTCAACACCAGATGATGAGACAGCTACTGAAGATGACTCGACAGCAGAAGAGGATTCAACACCAGATGATGAGACAGCTACTGAAGAGGATTCGATAACAGAAGAGGATTCAACACCAGATGATGATCTAGCGGCTGAAGAGGATTCGACAGCAGAAGAGGATTCAACACCAGATGATGAGACGGCTACTGAAGAGGATTCGACAGCAGAAGAGGATTCAACACCAGATGATGAGACAGCTACTGAAGAAGATTCGACAGTAGAAGAGGATTCAACACCAGATGATGAGACATCTACTGAAGAGGATTCGACAGCAGAAGAGGATTCAACACCAGATGATGAGACAGCTACTGAAGAAGATTCGACAGCAGAAGAGGATTCAACACCAGATGATGATCTAGCGGCTGAAGAGGATTCGACAGCAGAAGAGGATTCAACACCAGATGATGAGACGGCTACTGAAGAGGATTCGACAGCAGAAGAGGATTCGACACCAGATGATGAGACAGCTACTGAAGAGGATTCGACAGCAGAAGAGGATTCAACACGAGATGATGATCTAGCGGCTGAAGATGATTCGACAGCAGAAGAGGATTCAACAGCGGATGATGAGACGGCTACTGAAGAGGATTCGACAGCAGAAGAGGATTCAACACCAGATGATGAGACGGCTACTGAAGAGGATTCGACAGCAGAAGAGGATTCAACACCAGATGATGAGACAGCTACTGAAGAGGATTCGACAGCAGAAGAGGATTCAACACCAGATGATGAGACAGCTACTGAAGAGGATTCGATAGCAGAAGAGGATTCAACACCAGATGATGATCTAGCGGCTGAAGAGGATTCGACAGCAGAAGAGGATTCAACACCAGATGATGAGACAGCTACTGAAGAAGATTCGACAGCAGAAGAGGATTCAACACCAGATGATGAGACAGCTACTGAAGAGGATTCGACAGCAGAAGAGGATTCAACACGAGATGATGATCTAGCGGCTGAAGAGGATTCGACAGCAGAAGAGGATTCAACACCAGATGATGAGACAGCTACTGAAGATGATTCGACAGCAGAAGAGGATTCAACACCAGATGATGAGACAGCTACTGAAGATGATTCGACAGCAGAAGAGGATTCAACACCAGATGATGAGACAGCTACTGAAGAAGATTCGACAGCAGAAGAGGATTCAACACCAGATGATGAGATAGCTACTGAAGAGGATTCGACAGTAGAAGAGGATTCAACACCAGATGATGAGACACCTACTGAAGAGGATTCGACAGCAGAAGAGGATTCAACACCAGATGATGAGACAACTACTGAAGAGGATTCGACAGCAGAAGAGGATTCAACAGCACTTGATGATCTTACACTGTAACTACTAAATCCTGTACTAGAACCAAACGCAGAAGCCGATCTAGAAGCTAAAGATGATTCAGATGAAGATTCAACACCAGATGATGAGACAGCTACTGAAGAGGATTCGACAGCAGAAGAGGATTCAACACCAGATGATGAGATAGCTACTGAAGAGGATTCGACAGTAGAAGAGGATTCAACACCAGATGATGAGACAGCTACTGAAGATGATTCGACAGCAGAAGAGGATTCAACACCAGATGATGAGACGGCTACTGAAGAAGATTCGATAGCAGAAGAGGATTCAACACCAGATGATGAGACGGCTACTGAAGAGGATTCGACAGCAGAAGAGGATTCAACACCAGATGATGAGACGGCTACTGAAGAGGATTCGACAGCAGAAGAGGATTCAACACCAGATGATGAGACAGCTACTGAAGATGATTCGACAGCAGAAGAGGATTCAACACCAGATGATGAGACGGCTACTGAAGAGGATTCGACAGCAGAAGATGATTCAACACCAGATGATGAGACAGCTACTGAAGAAGATTCGACAGCAGAAGAGGATTCAACACCAGATGATGAGACGGCTACTGAAGAGGATTCGACAGCAGAAGAGGATTCAACACCAGATGATGAGACGGCTACTGAAGAGGATTCGACAGCAGAAGAGGATTCGACAGCGGAAGAAGATTCGACAACAGAAGAAGATTCAACAGCATTTGACGATCTTAGACTGTAACTACTAAATCCTGTACTAGAACCAAACGCAGAAGCAGATCTAGAAGCTAAAGATGATTCAGATGAAGATTCAACACCAGATGATGAGACGGCTACTGAAGAGGATTCGACAGCAGAAGAGGATTCAACACCAGATGATGAGACAGCTACTGAAGAAGATTCGATAGCAGAAGAGGATTCAACACCAGATGATGAGACGGCTACTGAAGAGGATTCGACAGCAGAAGAGGATTCGACACCAGATGATGAGACAGCTACTGAAGAGGATTCGACAGCGGAAGAAGATTCGACAACAGAAGAAGATTCAACAGCACTTGACGATCTTAGACTGTAACTACTAAATCCTGTACTAGAACCAAACGCAGAAGCAGATCTAGAAGCTAAAGATGATTCAGATGAAGATTCAACACCAGATGATGAGACGGCTACTGAAGATGATTCGACAGCAGAAGAGGATTCAACACCAGATGATGAGACAGCTACTGAAGAGGATTCGACAGCAGAAGAGGATTCAACACCAGATGATGAGACGGCTACTGAAGAGGATTCGACAGCAGAAGAGGATTCAACACCAGATGATGAGACAGCTACTGAAGAGGATTCGACAGCAGAAGAGGATTCAACACCAGATGATGAGACGGCTACTGAAGAGGATTCGACAGCAGAAGAGGATTCAACACCAGATGATGAGACGGCTACTGAAGAGGATTCGACAGCAGAAGAGGATTCAACACCAGATGATGAGATAGCTACTGAAGAGGATTCGACAGTAGAAGAGGATTCAACACCAGATGATGATCTAGCGGCTGAAGAGGATTCGACAGTAGAAGAGGATTTAACACCAGATGATGAGATAGCTACTGAAGAGGATTCGATAGCAGAAGAGGATTCAACACCAGATGATGATCTAGCGGCTGAAGATGATTCGACAGCAGAAGAGGATTCAACACCAGATGATGAGACAGCTACTGAAGAGGATTCGACAGCAGAAGAGGATTCAACACCAGATGATGAGATAGCTACTGAAGAGGATTCGACAGTAGAAGAGGATTCAACACCAGATGATGAGACACCTACTGAAGAGGATTCGACAGCAGTAGAGGATTCAACACCAGATGATGATCTAGCGGCTGAAGAGGATTCGACAGCAGAAGAGGATTCAACACCAGATGATGAGACGGCTACTGAAGAGGATTCGACAGCAGAAGAGGATTCAACACCAGATGATGAGACGGCTACTGAAGAGGATTCGACAGCAGAAGAGGATTCAACACCAGATGATGAGACGGCTACTGAAGAGGATTCGACAGCAGAAGAGGATTCAACACCAGATGATGAGACAGCTACTGAAGAGGATTCGACAGCAGAAGAGGATTCAACACCAGATGATGAGACGGCTACTGAAGAGGATTCGACAGCAGAAGAGGATTCAACACCAGATGATGAGACGGCTACTGAAGAGGATTCGACAGCAGAAGAGGATTCAACACCAGATGATGAGACAGCTACTGAAGATGATTCGACAGCAGAAGAGGATTCAACACCAGATGATGAGACAGCTACTGAAGAGGATTCGACAGCAGAAGAGGATTCAACACCAGATGATGAGACAGCTACTGAAGAAGATTCGACAGCAGAAGAGGATTCAACACCAGATGATGATCTAGCGGCTGAAGAGGATTCGACAGCAGAAGAGGATTCAACACCAGATGATGAGACGGCTACTGAAGAGGATTCGACAGCAGAAGAGGATTCAACACCAGATGATGAGACAGCTACTGAAGAGGATTCGATAACAGAAGAGGATTCAACACCAGATGATGATCTAGCGGCTGAAGAGGATTCGACAGCAGAAGAGGATTCAACACCAGATGATGAGACAGCTACTGAAGAGGATTCGACAGCAGAAGAGGATTCAACACCAGATGATGAGACAGCTACTGAAGAAGATTCGACAGCAGAAGAGGATTCAACACCAGATGATGATCTAGCGGCTGAAGAGGATTCGACAGCAGAAGAGGATTCAACACCAGATGATGAGACGGCTACTGAAGAGGATTCGACAGCAGAAGAGGATTCAACACCAGATGATGAGACAGCTACTGAAGAGGATTCGATAACAGAAGAGGATTCAACACCAGATGATGATCTAGCGGCTGAAGAGGATTCGACAGCAGAAGAGGATTCAACACCAGATGATGAGATAGCTACTGAAGATGATTCGACAGCAGAAGAGGATTCAACACCAGATGATGATCTAGCGGGTGAAGAGGATTCTCCAGTCGAAGAGGATTTAACACCAGATGATGAGATAGCTACTGAAGAGGATTCGATAGCAGATGAGGATTCAACACCAGATGATGATATAGAGGTTGAAGATGATTCGACAGCAGAAGAGGATTCAACACCAGATGATGAGACAGCTACTGAAGAGGATTCGACAGCAGAAGAGGATTCAACTCCAGATGATGAGACAGCTACTGAAGAGGATTCGATAGCAGAAGAGGATTCAACACCAGATGATGATATAGCGGCTGAAGAGGATTAGACAGCAGTAGAGGATTCAACACCAGATGATGATCTAGCGGATGAAGAGGATTCGACAGCAGAAGAGGATTCAACACCAGATGATGAGACGGCTACTGAAGAGGATTCGACAGCAGAAGAGGATTCAACACCAGATGATGAGACGGCTACTGAAGAGGATTCGACAGCAGAAGAGGATTCAACACCAGATGATGAGACGGCTACTGAAGAGGATTCGACAGCAGAAGAGGATTCAACACCAGATGATGAGACAGCTACTGAAGAGGATTCGACAGCAGAAGAGGATTCAACACCAGATGATGAGACGGCTACTGAAGAGGATTCGACAGCAGAAGAGGATTCAACACCAGATGATGAGACGGCTACTGAAGAGGATTCGACAGCAGAAGAGGATTCAACACCAGACGAATGAGACAGCTACTGAAGAAGATTCGACAGTAGAAGAGGATTCAACACCAGATGATGAGACAGCTACTGAAGAGGATTCGACAGCAGAAGAGGATTCAACACCAGATGATGAGACAGCTACTGAAGAAGATTCGACAGCAGAAGAGGATTCAACACCAGATGATGATCTAGCGGCTGAAGAGGATTCGACAGCAGAAGAGGATTCAACACCAGATGATGAGACGGCTACTGAAGAGGATTCGACAGCAGAAGAGGATTCAACACCAGATGATGAGACAGCTACTGAAGAGGATTCGATAACAGAAGAGGATTCAACACCAGATGATGATCTAGCGGCTGAAGAGGATTCGACAGCAGAAGAGGATTCAACACCAGATGATGAGATAGCTACTGAAGATGATTCGACAGCAGAAGAGGATTCAACACCAGATGATGATCTAGCTACTGAAGAGGATTCGACAGCAGAAGAGGATTCAACACCAGATGATGAGACAGCTACTGAAGAAGATTCGACAGCAGAAGAGGATTCAACAGCGGAAGAGGATTCGACAGCAGAAGAGGATTCAACACCAGATGATGAGACGGCTACTGAAGAGGATTCGACAGCAGAAGAGGATTCAACACCAGATGATGAGACAGCTACTGAAGAAGATTCGACAGTAGAAGAGGATTCAACACCAGATGATGAGACAGCTACTGAAGAGGATTCGACAGCAGAAGAGGATTCAACACCAGATGATGAGACAGCTACTGAAGAAGATTCGACAGCAGAAGAGGATTCAACACCAGATGATGATCTAGCGGCTGAAGAGGATTCGACAGCAGAAGAGGATTCAACACCAGATGATGAGACGGCTACTGAAGAGGATTCGACAGCAGAAGAGGATTCAACACCAGATGATGAGACAGCTACTGAAGAGGATTCGATAACAGAAGAGGATTCAACACCAGATGATGATCTAGCGGCTGAAGAGGATTCGACAGCAGAAGAGGATTCAACACCAGATGATGAGACAGCTACTGAAGAGGATTCGACAGCAGAAGAGGATTCAACACCAGATGATGAGACAGCTACTGAAGAGGATTCGACAGCAGAAGAGGATTCAACACCAGATGATGATCTAGCGGCTGAAGAGGATTCGACAGCAGAAGAGGATTCAACACCAGATGATGAGACGGCTACTGAAGAGGATTCGACACCAGAAGAGGATTCGACACCAGATGATGAGACAGCTACTGAAGAAGATTCGACAGCGGAAGAAGATTCGACAACAGAAGAAGATTCAACAGCACTTGACGATCTTAGACTGTAACTACTAAATCCTGTACTAGAACCAAACGCAGAAGCAGATCTAGAAGCTAAAGATGATTCAGATGAAGATTCAACACCAGATGATGAGACGGCTACTGAAGAGGATTCGACAGCAGAAGAGGATTCAACACCAGATGATGAGACAGCTACTGAAGAGGATTCGACAGCAGAAGAGGATTCAACACCAGATGATGAGACGGCTACTGAAGAGGATTCGACAGCAGAAGAGGATTCAACACCAGATGATGAGACAGCTACTGAAGAAGATTCGACAGCAGAAGAGGATTCAACACCAGATGATGAGATAGCTACTGAAGAGGATTCGACAGTAGAAGAGGATTCAACACCAGATGATGAGACACCTACTGAAGAGGATTCGACAGTAGAAGAGGATTCAACACCAGATGATGAGACGGCTACTGAAGAGGATTCGACAGCAGAAGAGGATTCAACACCAGATGATGATCTAGCGGCTGAAGAGGATTCGACAGCAGAAGAGGATTCAACACCAGATGATGAGATAGCTACTGAAGATGATTCGACAGCAGAAGAGGATTCAACACCAGATGATGAGACAGCTACTGAAGAGGATTCGACAGCAGAAGAGGATTCAACACCAGATGATGAGACAGCTACTGAAGAAGATTCGACAGTAGAAGAGGATTCAACACCAGATGATGAGACAGCTACTGAAGATGATTCGACAGCAGAAGAGGATTCAACACCAGATGATGATCTAGCGGCTGAAAAGGATTCGACAGCAGAAGAGGATTCAACACCAGATGATGAGACAGCTACTGAAGAGGATTCGATAGCAGAAGAGGATTCAACACCAGATGATGATCTAGCGGCTGAAGAGGATTCGACAGCAGAAGAGGATTCAACACCAGATGATGAGACGGCTACTGAAGAAGATTCGATAGCAGAAGAGGATTCAACACCAGATGATGATCTAGCGGCTGAAGAGGATTCGACAGCAGAAGAGGATTCAACACCAGATGATGAGACGGCTACTGAAGAGGATTCGACACCAGAAGAGGATTCGACACCAGATGATGAGACAGCTACTGAAGAAGATTCGACAGCGGAAGAAGATTCGACAACAGAAGAAGATTCAACACCAGATGATGAGACAGCGGCTGAAGAGGATTCGACAGCAGAAGAGGATTCAACAGCGGATGATGAGACAGCTACTGAAGAGGATTCGACAGCAGAAGAGGATTCAACACCAGATGATGAGACGGCTACTGAAGAGGATTCGACACCAGAAGAGGATTCGACACCAGATGATGAGACGGCTACTGAAGAAGATTCGATAGCAGAAGAGGATTCAACACCAGATGATGAGACAGCTACTGAAGAGGATTCGACAGCAGAAGAGGATTCAACACCAGATGATGAGACAGCTACTGAAGAGGATTCGATAGCAGAAGAGGATTCAACACCAGATGATGATCTAGCGGCTGAAGAGGATTCGACAGCAGTAGAGGATTCAACACCAGATGATGATCTAGCGGCTGAAGAGGATTCGACAGCAGAAGAGGATTCAACAGCACTTGATGATCTTACACTGTAACTACTAAATCCTGTACTAGAACCAAACGCAGAAGCCGATCTAGAAGCTAAAGATGATTCAGATGAAGATTCAACACCAGATGATGAGACAGCTACTGAAGAGGATTCGACAGCAGAAGAGGATTCAACACGAGATGATGATCTAGCGGCTGAAGAGGATTCGACAGTAGAAGAGGATTCAACACCAGATGATGAGACGGCTACTGAAGAGGATTCGACAGCAGAAGAGGATTCAACACCAGATGATGAGACGGCTACTGAAGAGGATTCGACAGCAGAAGAGGATTCAACACCAGATGATGAGACAACTACTGAAGAGGATTCGACAGCAGAAGAGGATTCAACACCAGATGATGAGACAACTACTGAAGAGGATTCGACAGCAGAAGAGGATTCAACAGCACTTGATGATCTTACACTGTAACTACTAAATCCTGTACTAGAACCAAACGCAGAAGCCGATCTAGAAGCTAAAGATGATTCAGATGAAGATTCAACACCAGATGATGAGACAGCTACTGAAGAGGATTCGATAGCAGAAGAGGATTCAACACCAGATGATGAGATAGCTACTGAAGAGGATTCGACAGTAGAAGAGGATTCAACACCAGATGATGAGACAGCTACTGAAGATGATTCGACAGCAGAAGAGGATTCAACACCAGATGATGATCTAGCGGCTGAAGAGGATTCGACAGCAGAAGAGGATTCAACACCAGATGATGAGACGGCTACTGAAGAGGATTCGACAGCAGAAGAGGATTCAACACCAGATGATGAGACAGCTACTGAAGAGGATTCGACAGCAGAAGAGGATTCGACAGCAGATGATGATCTAGCGGCTGAAGAGGATTCGACAGCAGAAGAGGATTCAACACCAGATGATGAGATAGCTACTGAAGAGGATTCGACAGCAGAAGAGGATTCAACACCAGATGATGAGACAGCTACTGAAGAGGATTCGACAGCAGAAGAGGATTCAACACCAGATGATGAGACGGCTACTGAAGAGGATTCGACAGCAGAAGAGGATTCAACACCAGATGATGAGACAGCTACTGAAGAGGATTCGATAACAGAAGAGGATTCAACACCAGATGATGATCTAGCGGCTGAAGAGGATTCGACAGCAGAAGAGGATTCAACACCAGATGATGATCTAGCGGCTGAAGAGGATTCGACAGCAGAAGAGGATTCAACACCAGATGATGATCTAGCGGCTGAAGAGGATTCGACAGCAGAAGAGGATTCAACACCAGATGATGAGACAGCTACTGAAGATGATTCGACAGCAGAAGAGGATTCAACACCAGATGATGAGACAGCTACTGAAGAGGATTCGACAGCAGAAGAGGATTCAACACCAGATGATGAGACAGCTACTGAAGAGGATTCGACAGCAGAAGAGGATTCAACACCAGATGATGAGACAGCTACTGAAGAGGATTCGACAGCAGAAGAGGATTCAACAGCACTTGACGATCTTAGACTGTAACTACTAAATCCTGTACTAGAACCAAACGCAGAAGCAGATCTAGAAGCTAAAGATGATTCAGATGAAGATTCAACACCAGATGATGAGACGGCTACTGAAGAGGATTCGACAGCAGAAGAGGATTCAACACCAGATGATGAGACAGCTACTGAAGAGGATTCGACAGCAGAAGAGGATTCAACACGAGATGATGATCTAGCGGCTGAAGAGGATTCGACAGTAGAAGAGGATTCAACACCAGATGATGAGACAGCTACTGAAGAGGATTCGACAGCAGAAGAGGATTCAACACCAGATGATGAGACGGCTACTGAAGAGGATTCGACAGCAGAAGAGGATTCAACACCAGATGATGAGACGGCTACTGAAGAGGATTCGACAGCAGAAGAGGATTCAACACCAGATGATGAGACAACTACTGAAGAGGATTCGACAGCAGAAGAGGATTCAACACCAGATGATGAGACAACTACTGAAGAGGATTCGACAGCAGAAGAGGATTCAACACCAGATGATGATCTAGCGGCTGAAAAGGATTCGACAGCAGAAGAGGATTCAACACCAGATGATGAGACAGCTACTGAAGAGGATTCGATAACAGAAGAGGATTCAACACCAGATGATGATCTAGCGGCTGAAGAGGATTCGACAGCAGAAGAGGATTCAACACCAGATGATGATCTAGCGGCTGAAGAGGATTCGACAGCAGAAGAGGATTCAACACCAGATGATGAGATAGCTACTGAAGATGATTCGACAGCAGAAGAGGATTCAACACCAGATGATGAGACAGCTACTGAAGAGGATTCGACAGCAGAAGAGGATTCAACACCAGATGATGAGACAGCTACTGAAGAAGATTCGACAGTAGAAGAGGATTCAACACCAGATGATGAGACAGCTACTGAAGATGATTCGACAGCAGAAGAGGATTCAACACCAGATGATGATCTAGCGGCTGAAAAGGATTCGACAGCAGAAGAGGATTCAACACCAGATGATGAGACAGCTACTGAAGAGGATTCGATAACAGAAGAGGATTCAACACCAGATGATGATCTAGCGGCTGAAGAGGATTCGACAGCAGAAGAGGATTCAACACCAGATGATGAGATAGCTACTGAAGAGGATTCGACAGCAGAAGAGGATTCAACACCAGATGATGAGACAGCTACTGAAGAGGATTCGACAGCAGAAGAGGATTCGACAGCAGAAGAGGATTCAACAGCACTTGATGATCTTACACTGTAACTACTAAATCCTGTACTAGAACCAAACGCAGAAGCCGATCTAGAAGCTAAAGATGATTCAGATGAAGATTCAACACCAGATGATGAGACAGCTACTGAAGAGGATTCGATAGCAGAAGAGGATTCAACACCAGATGATGAGACAGCTACTGAAGAGGATTCGACAGCAGAAGAGGATTCAACACCAGATGATGATCTAGCGGCTGAAGATGATTCGACAGCAGAAGAGGATTCAACACCAGATGATGAGACAGCTACTGAAGAGGATTCGATAGCAGAAGAGGATTCAACACCAGATGATGATCTAGCGGCTGAAGAGGATTCGACAGCAGAAGAGGATTCAACACCAGATGATGAGACAGCTACTGAAGAAGATTCGACAGCAGAAGAGGATTCAACACCAGATGATGAGACGGCTACTGAAGAGGATTCGACAGCAGAAGAGGATTCAACACCAGATGATGAGACGGCTACTGAAGAGGATTCGACAGCAGAAGAGGATTCAACACCAGATGATGATCTAGCGGCTGAAGAGGATTCGACAGCTGAAGAGGATTCAACACCAGATGATGAGACAGCTACTGAAGAAGATTCGACAGCAGAAGAGGATTCAACACCAGATGATGAGATAGCTACTGAAGATGACTCGACAGCAGAAGAGGATTCCACACCAGATGATGA